TACATGGCTGGCTGTCTAAACAGACGCTGCAAACTGCAGCAAGCAAATCAGTGTGAAAAAGGAATTCACTAGCATAATACCTCCAGATTCTAATTTCCCCTTTAAATGCCTGGGAAATTAAACGAAGGTGAAAGGGATCAAGGTTAATGCATCAGTAAGGCTGCAAGATTGAGTGCTCAAACGTCAGAAAATCCCAAAGGTTTAAGGTTGCTCTGGCAACGTTAAATCTATCATATACCACAATATTCACAGTATTCCCGCCTCCCTTCCCTTACTAAATGCAAGCCTTAATCTGCACCTATAGACACCCTTGAACACGCAGGCCGTGAAGAAAGGCAGAGTTAACTTTGTACTTGGGGATTCCGGACTTGGAGTCTTTGCATCAATAACACAAAGCTTGCAAGATCAATGGGTTTTGCATTTAATCATCAGTTAGGAATAGATCTAACCAACTGAGGCAGCCCCGGCTGGTTCTGAACCCATAATAGGGATGTAAAAAGTAAGAAAAATCACTAGCCACATAACCAATTGAAATTCAATCGTTACATGGTTAAAACACTCCCAGCGTCTGTGGGCCCCCTGGGCTCCTGGCAATGGCCAGGAGTTTAACCAGCAAGGTTAACTGATAAGCTTATGCATATCAGTTAACTGGTTAAACTTACTCCCTAATCCATACACCAAACTGGTATTCCAGAAAGACTCTGGCTGTGGCTTCACTAAAACAAATGAGTGTGGGGTTTATAACCACAGAAGGAAAACTAATGGGTGTTAGCTACTGCACTGCCCAATTCTAGGGGAAACACAAGGAACCTGCCATTTTTACTAGGGGGAAGCTAGATGAGACCAACCCTACACCCCTCACGCATGGTTCAAAACTACAGCCCACACCGTTTCCTGGCAGTGAAAACCAGGCCTCCATTTACCTGTTCTTACTGCAACGCAGGGTAACTGACAGGTGTGCTCTAATTAGGGAAGTGAATGTGTAGCTGTTTACATGGTTAACTGACGAGCCGGGGCTTATCAGTTACCATGCACTGCTACATGCACACAACCCCCAGCACTGCTGTCACTGGTTCCCCGTGCACACCCACTCCCCCCTCCCCTCGTTCTGCTGCCTCTGTATCCGCACACACTGGTTCCCGGGGAGCTGACTGCTGAAATTTTCAGCCGTTACACGTTTACGTTAACAGCCACATTTTTAACATCCCTCATTCTATTAAATCCAACAACCCGTTTTCACCGCTGTACCTTCCCTCGTCAGACCCCAGCTGGTTCGGGCTGGCATTCCTTTGCTTTGTTCTCACCACTCCTCAAGCAATTTGTACTGCTTGCGTGATACCACAAATGCCTTGGATTCCAGGGCTATTGGATCAACACAGAGCAGGCTGCCCATGCTGTGCAGATGGGACGTACGCTGCTGACTCTTGCTGCAAACCCATCCGCAGGCCCACTCTCAAACAGCTGTAATCCTTGCTTTCTGCACGTCTGGTCCGACCCAAGCTAACGGCCATGGCTGCCCTGCAGGCTGCACGATATGTCACGCTCTCAAACAGAAATCCTGTTCTGTGACTGTGTAATCTGGGTTCAAACCCCCAAAGTTTTTCACTTTTTTGCATCTCCCCCTTGCATTTCAAGAGTAACCCAACAACAGCAGCTTCTTATTAGGGATGTTAAAATGCGTTTAACTGTGTAACCACTGGAAAACTCAGTAGTTATGATGGGGGTGCCGCTCCCCGCACTTATCAGTTCCTGCCTGCACCTCCATACTGCTGCCTCTGATTCAGAAGCAGCAGCAGAGGAATGTGGGGTGCGCTCGCAGCTCCCTGGAAGCTGGTGCACACGGGACGTTGGCTTTTAAGCCAGCTAACCATGCATACCGGGACCTTCCTTTAACCGTGAAGGCAGCAGCTTTTAAGCTAGCACGTGCCGCTCCCCGCACTTATCAGTTCCTGCCTGCACCTCCATACTGCTGCCTCTGATTCAGAAGCAGCAGCAGAGGAATGTGGGGTGCGCTCGCAGCTCCCTGGAAGCTGGTGCACACGGGACGTTGGCTTTTAAGCCAGCTAACCATGCATACCGGGACCTTCCTTTAACCGTGAAGGCAGCAGCTTTTAAGCTAGCACCCCGCGCACTCTGAGCCTGTGTGTAACCGTGAAGGTAACCGATGAGCCCAGTGTACACGGTTTCACTGTCACATCCCGGACACCTTGTTTTTCCTTATGAGGTGTGAGACCTCCAGAACGTGGTCATGCATCTGACAGGACTACCCTGTGGCTCATGTGAAATGCATGGAAACAGCTCACTCCCCAGCCTCGGAGGTGCTTAAGAGGAGGTTGAACAAGTACCTGTCAGGGACCGTTTAGGGTTACCTGACCCTTCCTCAGTAAAGGGGCTGACCTAGCTGACCTCTCAAGGTCCATTCCAGTCCTACATTTCTATGATCCTATGAAGCTGAAAGCCAAACCCCCCTTCCCCCGGTACCAACATCACCCTTCTAGTCATGGAAGGTCTCTAACTTTGAAGGACCCCCACGAATATTAAGAGTTTTTTCCAAACAGATTGATGTAAGCATCACTTCAACCCCCCTTCCTCCCCGAAATACAGCCACCTCTGGGGTGGAAGGCAACAGCAATCTCACACAACAGACTGGGAACACATATTATTCAGCCACACGTGCATTAACACACACACAGTGAACAGAACAGAGATGCATTTGAAATGGTATCTACAGGGAGAAGGGAAGGAGAGAGACATGGGAAACAGCGTCAGTCACAGCACACCCCAAACTACACCTTCCCCCCCCCATTTTGTTGTACGGTAGCAATGCCTCTTGTCACCCACAGAATTCTAGAGCTTACTCATTACACTGCGCGAAATCTGTAGTCAACTTGTTCCTGGTGGACTGTACAATTAAGTCCCAGCTGCTTGTGAGAAGGAATTTAAAGGGCACATTTCTAGGCCTCTGCGAGGCTTGATCTTTTATCTACACGTTTTCTGTGTGTGCCAAAATCAAGAAGTAAAACCAGAGGCAGGTCAATGCAACGGCAACGAGACTGCGATTGCCTGGCTCTGATCAGCGCTCCCTCATAGAGCACTGGTTTTTACGTTTGTACAGGGAAAAGAGTCAGGACATTGAACAAGTTATGGTTCCCAAAGCAAATGTAACTAAGTCCCATTGTATGTGAAGACATATTCCCGCCCCCCCCCCCCCCTTACCCCTAGCATCGAAAAGTGCTTTACAAATACCACCCAATTCAGAGACACCCATGTGGGAATGGGGATCAGTAATGCGTGCACCGAGGCTCAGAGGTTAGCTCGAGGATCCAAGCTCATAACGGAATGAGTGACAAGAGCTGGAAAGCAGGAGACCTAGCCCTTGCGCTAACCACTAGACTACCTTTCCTCTCAAGAAGAGAGCAGCGTCTAGCTCAACGTGCCAAGCTATGGGTGCGCTGGGAGCTGTCGTTCATTTCCTAAGGGCCGGGTCGCTAGAAGCCCAGCCAGAACATTGCAGTGGCTCTTCGCAGGTAGGCAGCACTAGTGGCGGTTCCAAATTTCAGAGGTTCAGCTTCAGAATTCTACCCAAGGGACATTGCACCCTGAGACCGCAGCACACCATGCACCCGCAGGCCGCTTACTGACCACATGCCCCTAGCTCCGGGGGGAAGCCAACACCAGACAGCACCCCGCAGGCCAGCATCCCTAGGAGGCACTTACCTGGGCAACTTTATCCTGCAAGACACAGCCGAAAAGCACTTAGCCCAGCAGCCCGGCGTGAGCCATTCAGGCAGGCATGACCAGCAGCCAGGAGCACCAGCAGGATGTGCTCTTGTTTGCCGCTGCGTTTAACCACAAGCTAATGCTGTTCCAATTCCCTCCCTAAACTGTATTTGCCTTTTACTGCAGAGAAAAGGGGCTGATTAAAGGAGAGATTTCTGCTTCCCCAATGGACCTGCTTGTCCCTGCCTCCCTCTAGCTAGGACACATTCATAGGGCATCTTGGTGCTATTTACAGTACACAAAGGAACATGTTTGGGACACACTTTGCATCAGCCAATACCTTCCACCTCTCCCCCACGAACAGACACTAGAGGCACCAATAACCCAGGGCTCCCAGCATCCTCAGACCCAGAAAACCCTGACCAAGTATCTTGCCCGAAGAGCCACAAAACCTGGGCCAGGCTGAACTCCCAGCTGGAAGCGTTACTGGGGTCAAGACCCCTGAGAGAACCCCTGTCGCTGCCTCCACAGGCCAGCTGACCACGGCGACCATGCAGGGGCAAGTCAGAGACTCTTTGGGGGCGTTTAGATGGAAATCAACATCCTGAGCGCCTCCCGGAACAGACAGACCTCCTGTCCAATCCCGCCAGGCTACAGTGGCTCAGGAGATGGGATTCTCTTTGGAGCCTGTGAGTGTCACCGACCCATAGAAAGGGCAGGAAAGGCCATAGCAAAGCCGGGAGGTACGTTGTAGCGCCCTGCATACCGCAGTAACCGAGCCTATTCGGCATGCGGGCTGGAAAGGCAAGTGCTGGAGCTGCGCAGCTTGGGGAGGGTAAAGCCGGGTCTCTTCTGGATAGACACACCCCCAGGTCAGCTCTCTGCCAACACAGCTCTACGTTCCCACACTACGCTTGACAGCATACTGTAGCATCTAGGTGTGCACACTTGTAGCGCCCTGCATACCGCAGTAACCGAGCCTATTCGGCATGCGGGCTGGAAAGGCAAGTGCTGGAGCTGCGCAGCTTGGGGAGGGTAAAGCCGGGTCTCTTCTGGATAGACACACCCCCAGGTCAGCTCTCTGCCAACACAGCTCTACGTTCCCACACTACGCTTGACAGCATACTGTAGCATCTAGGTGTGCACACCCCAAGAGGCGGCGGCCAGTTTCCTGAGAGGCTATTTCGCAGCTTGGTGGATCTCGCTCCCTGGAGGCAACAGCTCCCAGCATTGGCTGTCTTGCACCCGCTGCTGGCACAAATCTCTCCCTCGCTTCTCACCTCATTAATACGGATTTGCTGGAGCTCCTGCTCGGCTGCTGTCAGAGGGGCCGGGGCGGAGTAGGACGACACATGCTTCTGGTAGCCACTGAGCGAGATGTCTTCCTGCAGCCAGGCAAGAGAAAGCATCATCAGCGGAATTATTACCGGACGGAGACAACACCTCCCAGAAGGCGAGAGACGGGAGGACCCGCTCTACTTTGCTGCTGCTTTCGAGGCTGACCACACGATCCAGTGCAGTGCGATCTCACACGCCTCCCAAGGAAGCCCAGCCCAGCCTGCAGAATGGGCAAGGTAGAGGCTCCAAACACTGGGCCACTGTAACGGGGAGCGACCTGATAAACAGCAAAAGTCACCGAACGAGGCTCATCTCTCAGTGCCTCGAAGGGCCAAATCTGAGAGCGGTGGGGGCGTTCCCACTGCTCCCAGGAGCACGCGCCAAAAGAAAAGTGATCCAGTCGATACAACATCTTTAGACAAACGGCAGGTACGCGTGCACGATCGCAAGCTGTGACACACCGCATACAGCACATCCTTTGCAGCACCATGACCTATCCAAAGATGTAGATTTGATCCCCGCTCTGGAGAGCTTCCAGCCCAGGGGTGAGTGTTTGTCTATGCTGGGAAGCTTTACTGAAATTGCTAATTTGGAATAAGGAAAGTGACTAGTTATTCCTGAACAGCCACTTCACTGACATTTCTAAGCACAGACCAGCCCCGAGTCTTCTTTTCGAAAAGTTAAGCAAGCTCTTCACTAGCTTTCTGCACATTCCAAACAATCCCCATCTGGAAGCCGTTTCTCCTTCCAGCTGCATGACTGCAACACAGTTCATGCACCTGGGCAGATCTGCGGCAGCTGGCACCACAAGCCTATTTCCATGTGTAACGGGTGCTTATCCCAAGCTGCAGGCACAGACCCAGCCAGCCCACTGGGTGCAGGTTGGCCAACGCCAGTGACTGTGGACTTTGCCAGCCCCCATCACATCCCTTTGGGAAAACCCTTGGAAAGTCAGTCTGTGTTGGAGCACACACAGTCACAAAACTGGGCTGAGACACCAAGATGGGCGGCAGCTATTCGAGCAGGTGGCTGCAGTTAACAGGGTTTACTGGTTAGCAACCTGGTTTCATTTACTGAGACAAACTGCCACCTTGTGGCAGTTTTTATTTAAAACTATAGCGCCTTTTTAAAATAGCCCCTCACCTGCAATCTCCTCTATACACGTCATCTATTCTCTTCGAGGAACCACTACATGGCACAAATGAAACCCCCTCTTCTGCCTAGTGCCAAGGGGCGAGATCTGTAATCACTCTGTAAAGGGTTTCTTCCAAACAGACCAAGGGCTAAGGAAATTGACGGGCTAGCCCCGAATGGGTGAAGATGCAGGGGCGGGACTGCTGGAGCCAGCTCTCACAGTGAGGAGCAGACTGAAAGCAGCCTATTCCCCGGCTGCCACGATAGCCACCCTCACAAATCCCAGCACCTGCTGCTCAAGTGACCAGGCAAGGTCAAAGATCTGGGTCAATTTCACTTGTGTGCCAGCGCTTCTAGAAGAGAGCTGGCTGCAGGCTCCCTCTCTAGCTTTAAAAGGATGAAGGCAGACTCTAAAGAAATGGAGAGAGCAGTAACAAGAGGTGGGAAAAGCCCAGCAGTGGTCCAGGAACATTTTAACCCCCGCACTGTGGTACCCCAAGCAGTCTGGGCTCTGGTTATTGAATCAACCCTGATCTAAACAAAAGAAAAGGTGGCCAGCCTGGTGACCTTCACTAGGGGGGGAAGAATTTACACCCGAGAGGCGCTGTTAAACCGACCTCAGCCCAGCACAGACACTGCTAGGCCTCTCAAGGGGGAGGATTTACTCTAGTGACGTAAAACCTCCCCAGCTGCTGCACTAGTACTCCAGTGACACTGCATTTGCTGTAGACACACCCCTTGGTGTTAACCGGAGGGTGCTGCCTGCTTACAGTCTATGCCATGAGCCGCCGTCCATACCTTCACGGTCCCAAACAGCTCATCCTTTATGTGTCCTCCTCCAAATTCTTTCTTCACTGTTGCTCGGGTTGCTGCATACAGCATCTTCAGCCTGACCTGGACAAGTGGAGAGTGAGCGAGATGCATTCAGCGAGGTGGAAAATTGAACAGGATCGGAGTCTGAGCTCCGGCCCTCTGCTCATTCAAGGGCAGCTGCTCACTGGTGATACTACAAGTCAGCCGAGAAGACAGAACTCATCTCGTCAACAGGAATCCACCCCTCTCGTCAACTCCACCACCCCAACTTCAGTCCCAGGGCGAATGCCAGTCCTCTCTCTCAACCTGAGCTCGCTGGAAAACTCCACTTTTAACAGGAGAAAGCTGTGGCTGGGTTTCAATTGAAATGCACCATTTCTAGCCTTACCATGGCTAAGTCCAGAGAATAATTTCCCCTGGCTCCTTTGGTTGCCTCTTGCCTTGCACCTAGAGCCTAAAGCCTACTGCCTCCCCCCCCCCCCCCCCCCGACCCCCCCCCCCCACGTACCCCTACATACACCTACACAGTCAAGTTCTTGATGTCTTCTGTTCACAAGCTACCACTGCCCATCAAGACTGTTTTCCTGGACTCTCTCTCCCCTGCCCCAACCCCCCAAAAACTGCTGCAAGTCAGCGGCCCCCATTACGGAAAAACTGTGGCTAGTGCTCTGGGTTTTGATCAGTGACAGCCCCGAATGGCTAAAGCAGCCAGTGGTCACCTTGCCCCAAAGCACAGCCTGACGCCATAGCCAGCAGAGAAAACCGACGTAGGAGCCTGGCATTACTGGGGGAGGGGGACTCTGTAGTGCTGGTGACCAGGGACCGATAAAGTAAACCAAGCCAGCGGAGGCACTAGCAGTGACCGCTTTAATCAGCCCACCTAGCCTCCCGACTGCTCTTCTCATCAGGGGGTCTCGGAGCACTTCACAAAAGGAGGTCAGTGTCTTTATCCCCATTTTACTGATAGGGAAACGGAGGCCCAGGATGGTGACATGACTGAGGTCAGCCAGCAGGCCAATGGCAGAGCCAAGACTAGATCCCATTGCTGTTCTGTTCCCTCCCCTCCCCGCCACGCTGCCTCCCAGGGCTACCTGCTAAAGAGATTCAATCTTATTCCATTCTAACTCTCCGCCGCTGGCTTGAGCCAACCTTGGGTTCAGTCACCAGTTGTCACTGTTCCTCCACTGAAAAGCGGGAAGGAGAATCACTCTCGCAAGGAGGGAGGGGGCTTCAGAAACATCAGGAGCATTAGGGTCGGGTATAAACATTAATTCCCCGACCGGCCGCCAGGCGTCACTGTGGCTCCAGAGTTCAGGTTCTTTCGTGTGTTGGATGGTGTCCATGGAGGGATACAGGCTGGG